GGTATGCTGGTCAACCCGAGCGTCTGACGGCGGTTTGATGCACCCGACTGGGTCGGTTTTTTCTGACCGGTCCGTCCGTCGATTAAGGCGGGTTTGAGGTGCCCGGCTGTAGAAGAACTTAAGAATTAGAGTAAAAATATGCTGGAGCGTGGCGAGGCTAGAGAGTTTTACATGGTAGTTGTACCTGCTGCGAGTAGTCCCGTGTCAAAAGTGCAATGACTTGATTGAGCGTGGTTTGTGGTGGGGTGGTCAGTCTTGGCAGGCATGCCTCGACAGAAAGATGCGATATGCGTACGAGCCAGCACCTCACGGAGTCACGGGTGCAAAAGCCAACGTTCGGCATCCCACCGTCGCCGAGGTGTAGGACGGTGCCGGTGGGCTCACATCACATGCCCCGATCAAGGTCTAGTCTCTCTCTCTCTCTCTCTCTCTCTCTCTCTCTTGTATGATTGCCCGCTCCGCTCCGATTCCCAGCTGCAAACCCCACGCGCATTCTCCCCCACGGACCAAGAAGAGAACCCCATCTACGGAAGGAGGCAGCGCCTAAACCCCAGCCAGATCCCGCACCGCCACCGGCGAGGCGCGACCCCCATTGCCGTCCTCCAACGCGGCCGGACAGCGACTTCTACACCGGCTACTGGGGAAAGATTTTTTCATCGTTAACAAGGTAACCAGACATCACTTCTCTAACCTCGTTGCGTCCGCCAAATAATTTTTTCCCCATCTCACACGCTTCACTCTTCTTTCCGGGTAAGAGAATCCACAGATCTCATGGCCGGTGGTTTGGAATGGAACGTTGCCGCGGTAATAACCATAGTTGGCTGGTTGGTGTCGCCCATCATCACGCTGATCCTGCCCAAGATCTTTGCCTGCCTCGGCTTTGACGCGGAGCAGAAGCTCAGGGAGCTCAAGATCCGCATCATCCCGGAGCTGGAGAACACGCTGCGTGATGTAGATCAGGTGAGGATGATGCAGAGGGGAGAAGTACCCCACCACGTCTCCAGGCTTGACGAGATGGCTGGATGGCTGAGGCACGCACAGTACGATGTGGATGTCATCTTCGACGATGCTCATGACATCAAGTCGCGTCGCCTCACCGGCGCTTTGGAGACCTGCGTTGCTCGTTGCTTGGGGGTTATTCCGTGCATCGTCTGGAAGGGATCGGCTCTGCTAATGGGGTGGCTGATGCACATCTCCTTGTGTCGGTGGTTCCGATGCAGGTCAGAAGAGGAGCCCGCTCCTGTGACTGTCAGCGTTGAGGCCTCAGGCGAGCCCGTGACCATCGATATTGCGTCCTCCAATGATGAAGATGAAGATGAACTCGATCCAGTAGCTGCCCGTGCTGCGGCCTTTGATGATGAGCACGTTCCGGTGACTAGCGGTGTTGAGGCACTCGGCGAGCCTAATCCAGTGACTTGTGATACTGTGGTCTCCGCCGCTGCGCCGTCCGATCATGTGGTTGTTCCGGCGACTTTTGGTGGTGCAGCCTCTGACGAGCCTCTTCCGGTGGATGCATCCTCTGGCCGGTGGCTCTCTTGCTTGTGCAGCTCTATCGACTCATCGAAGAACTGTTGTAGGTTCATAGTCAACTGGCTAGTTCATGCGATTGATGTTGCCCGCTTTTATCGAGACTGGTCCTATGAGGCAGTTGGCATCAAAAGTAAGCAGGTACAATCCACTCCTCATCTCATATGCCCTTTAATTATGTACATGTAAAATGGTTACTTTTTAATTTTCTCTTATTAGCATGTGTTTAAAATTAAATTATACTAGTCATCAACCCGTGCAGCTGCACAGGCTAGCAATCTTTAGGAAAATATGGATATTAAAACAATTTTGTAATGAGTTGGAATATATGAAATAAATATTTAAATACTCTGTTTACATATTATCACTATTTAGAACATTGTTTTGAAAAGTTATAGTTCATTGTCAAGTTAGAAGATCTACATCAATATGCTAAACAACTCAAAGGGGATTGAGTAAGATATTATCATTTTGGTATGATATTCGTTTTATTGTAAATTTGTTGGGAAAAAATGGCATCAGAATTACTGACATCATGTATGTGATAATGGTTAAAAACATATTGTTCATTATAAATTGAAGTTTGACTATTCATTTTTTCCTTACTGAAAGAATAATTAATAATTATTTAGCATAAACCCATAAATGCTAAATATGCAAGAAGTTATTTTCATGTAACGGAGTTTACATAATCAGTTAGAGGGAAAGAGGACACACCTTTTGATGTTAAGAAAAATGAGGTCTAAATTTGAAGAATCAGGTTTGTGTGATGACACTGTCCGCATCACCTTCTTTTTCATGCTCCTGTTATGGTAGAGAAAGGGAATTAAAACCCCAACAACAAAGATTAACCAACAATGTGGGAAAATTCATATATTCATCCAAAGAATTTTGAAAATTGTTTTCTTTAGCTAAGTATTATTTGGACAACCATAAGGATTTTCTATCATGACTATTCTTACAACAATTATAAAGATATTCAGAACATAATTAACATATAAATTTGATACAACTTTCAGTCTAATGTGCAGAAAAACTGGACAACTACATTAAGTGTACATCGAAATATCAGATAAGAAAATAATGAGTGGTGCATGTATATAGGTTAGAAGAAGGCTACATACGGTATATATTGTTCAGAGCATCAATGGTGTACCCTTTGGGCTTCAGTATATTTCAAGTAGACTGTACCAATGTTGTACTTTCTTTCTCCCTATCTAATAAAGGTCAGCCAAGGGCCCCTCGAGATTTTACGCCAAAGCAGCAAATAAGACATGACTATCTGGATGTGAGTAGTAAAAATAATTGAACATCTGGAAAGCAAAGATGACGCCACTTGTGCTGATGTGCTTCATTGGCCGCCGAATGCCAGGTGATACTACTGTCAGAGACCTCGTGTCACTGATCGCTGAACCCTCTCTTAGATATAGTGCTTATCATTGTACGGATAGGAGGAGGGTGACGGAACAGCTGAGAGCAGTCTGTTGTATTACCTCGGCGACCATCATATCTGCTTGAAACTGATTTGGGCCTCAGTTAGAAATGATATAGAAGCTAAAAACATAACATAGAGATGTGAGTCACACTTGAAATCACACATATAAACATATCAAATTCGGTCCAGCTAATAATTGGGAGGTAGCTTAGCCTTAAGAAAGTACTTGTACAAATTGAAGATTTGCAGCAAGTACATAGTAGTGAACATTGTTAAAGAAAAAGTAGATGTAATTATGCATACTAAGTATATTATTTTTAAGACACCAATTTGCATTAATACCTATAAAATAGCAGTCCCAAGCCTGTTAAAATGAATGTCCCACCCCAACTAACATAGCAGACATGCAAAACAACAATATATCACTCATTGCACAGGAACAGAGAAGTATTGGAATGGCGATGAGGTCAATATAAATCTAGAAATTTTACTGTACGAAGATTTTTATTTTGCATATCTTTTTCTATTGGAAGTTAACATGCACAATTTAGCACATAGTGGCAACAACAAAATTAGTGATCTGAATGAACTTAGAACCAAAGACACATGTTCACTTTTAATCAGTTCATGTCTTTAAATGCCCTAGTGAAGAGAAAAAGATCTGATGCACAATGTTACTATATTTTAGAAAATAGCAGTACAGACCATGGGTATAGAAGATATACATAGCCATGAACCCATGAGGCATGCATGTAGTGCGTGATCCTAGTTTCATTCATATATATATAGTTCTGTACAGGTATTGAAAAGGAGGGAGTACCTGTTGTGAGTGTAAAACTGTCAACGACATGAATAGAGATGGATGATGGGCTGCTGTTGCTACGTTTCTCCGGCAATAAAAGCATCAATCTTAGGAAGTCCCAGTCTTAGCAGCAGTCACGGAGGAAGTAGTACGTACTGTTTGTCACCTCTAGCCATATATATGTGCATGCTGTCCTCTTGTACGTCTAGGCTTCTGCAGCAGATACGTTGCCATCTCACTATGATCTGGAGAAGATCGTTCGGATCTCCCAGTCCACCCACATCCTGTCGTATGGCATCTCCTCGCCTGGTTGTGTCCCCGTTGGCGCGCGGTGTACACCTCGCCGTGATGCAGCATCGTCGGGCACTGGCAGCAACACTTGACACAGGGTCGGTACGCGAAGCAACTCTTGCACCCCTCCTCCAGGGTGCGTCTGCTGTCCCGTAGGCTGCACTCCTCATGCTCCGCTCCTCCGCCAAGTCGAATGTCGCCGACCACATAACGGAGGCAGACCGTCGTCCGTGGCACCCTGATGATGCAAGTTTGCTTGATTCTTTCTGAACATGGTCATGCACGATGCTTCCGCATAGTTGGTCCGGCAAGAAGGCCGGCTTGGTTGACCTGAAGATACAGGAACACAACCTCCCCAATCAAACCTCCACTCGGTCGATGTTTGTAGATTAATTTAACTATTAGCCCCATTAGATCGTGGAGAGAAAAGAGGCAGAGGAGGGCCTAGAACCAATCTGGTAATTGAAAGGACAAAAACATCACAACATGAAAAGAAAGGAGATAGGCATCAGACCGTATATAGAGAAAATTATAGGCAGAGGAGGATGCACTGCCTGTGGTGGCTCGCCTCTTTTTTTTCTTTTTCTTTTTTTCTTTGACGGGGTGTAAGGAGTCATCTCAACCGTTCATGTTTTCATCCAACGGTAAACAGTGATTTAACTATGAGGATTAACGTGGTGGCTTATATGGTGCCTCCAATTAATAAATATAAGATATAAGATATATGTATGTTCTGGGGACAAACATGTCAAATCTCATATGCATGTCGGTTTCAAATGGTAGCTAGTGTAATCGCCAAATATTGATGTATTTGCCTCGTAGTCGGAGCACGGAAGCATTATATGCACAACATATCAGATTTCAAATATAAACAATATGTATTGTCATTATTATACATATATTTCCTTCTTTATCATATTGGCTTTAATGATAATACTTTATTCCTTTCATACCTACCTTTTTTTGTATTAGATATGCTGTCATTAATGAACAGTTATCTTTTTCCTCCTGACCGGATCTTTTTGTTTGCTATTTTGATCTACAAATGACTTTTGTCTTTCTTCCACATGGCCATTTTTTGTTCCACCAGTGGTGCCTAATTTATTCTGCATTATAGTCACATATGGCTAATTGATAGACGACTGGCTTACTCATTTTGGATTTTGCTTCTTGCAGGAGGATGCCACTGCGTTTGATTTTATCCTTACTGCAATCTCAAAATGGAATTTGAAGAAAAGAATTGAGAAGGTAGAAAACATCGTCATGGAAGTTAAGAATTCACCACTCTTGGGCGTGCCAAGCAACAACACACCGAATGATATTGCCAACAAGTACAATGATATTGCCAACAAGTATAGGAGCCATATTACAAGTGATAGTGACTGGAAAATATTTGGTCGAGGGGCGTTGCGTAATTATATAATGGAAAGACTCCGTGAGAGAGCACAAGGTGCTGCACCAAGCTCGAGTGCTAGTAAATGTTACTCTGTGATTGGCATATATGGTGTTGCAGGGTCTGGGAAAACTACCTTTGCACGATATCTTCGAGATCACATAAAGGAGGAATGCAAGGAGGAGAAACTTTTTGACACCATCATGTGTATTCATGTGTCAGAGACGTTTAGCGTGCATGCTATATTTCATGAAATGTTGAAAGATATTACCAAAGAACGGCACTCCAATATTTCAGATCGTGAAGAGCTGGAAGAGAAATTGAAGGAAGTGTTGCGTGATAAACGTTTTTTCTTGATATTGGATGATCTATGGGTGAAGAACAAGAATAATCCACAGCTGGTGGAGCTACTCTCTCCACTTAGTGTTGGGCTGACAGGCAGCAAAATCCTAGTGACGGCTCGAAGAATTGATTCAGTTAGAGCTCTGTGTGTGGATGAACCTATTAAAATGCCTGATTTGGATGAGGAGGAATACTTTCAGATGTTTAGGCATTATGCACTGCATGGTACATGTAGATTTCATAATGAAGAATTCATACAAGTGGGGAGAGTAATTGCCCAGAAGCTACATAGATCACTTATCACAGCAGTAGCAGTGGCAGGACGCTTGGGTCAATTCCAGATATCCATTTTTGGAAAAACACTGCAAAAGATGACATGTTGAATGACACTAGGGGCGCTCTTTGGTGGAGCTATCAGCTGCTTAATCCAGACATCAGGCGATGCTTTGAATTCTGCAATATTTTCCCTCGAAGATCTGGGTTCAGCAGGCAAGAGTTAGTTCGTCTGTGGATAGCAGGAGGGTTTGTAAAGACATCTTGTTCAGAAAAGGACATGGAAGATGTAGCCGAGGACTACATTCAAGAGTTACTTTCATGCTCATTTCTGCAACCAGTAGTAGATGGTTCCTTCGGATCTGACTTTACAATTCATGATCTGCTGCATGATTTATTAGACAAGGTAACTGGAAGTGATTACTTCAGAATCGAGAATGAAACGAGCCAGAGAGGAAATAAAAGCTGGAAAGGAGATATCCCTCAGGATGTCCGCCATCTTTTTATTCGGATCTATGGTGGAGAATTGATTACTGATAAGATCCTTGGTTTGGAAAATTTGCGCACTCTCATTCTTTATTATGGTGGAAAGGATACAACAGTTGACGAAAAATTCATTGAGTGCATATGCAAGATGCTGCCAAATTTGCGGGTACTGGCCATTGATTTAAGCTGGGCTAATACGGGGCCCAATTTCTCATTGCCAGAATCTATTAGTCAGTTAAAGCACCTACGGTATCTTTCGTTCATAGCATATTCATGCATGGTGATTTTACCAATCGCACTAGCTAAACTTCACCATATCCAGATGCTAGATTTTGTTGATTGTGAATTTTTGGGATTTGGTTCTACTGGCCTTATCAACTTGCGGCACCTGTTCCTCCGCACAAAAGTGAAATGTCCTAACATAGGAAGGCTGGTCTCGCTCCAAACAGTACCTACCTTTGAAGTAAGGAATGAACAAGGGTATGAGGTAAAGCAGGTGAGTGACCTAAACAAGCTTCGTGGTAGATTGGAGATCAGTGGCCTTGAAAATGTTACAAGCAAGGAGGAAGCCCTTGAAGCCAATCTAGCTGCCAAGGAAGGGCTCACTTATTTTAAACTGAAATGGCATGGGGGCGATGATAGTACAAGGTGCAGTCCAGAAGTTGAAGCAGAGGTACTTGAGGGCCTGCGCCATCCCGTGGGGCTTGAAGTACTGGATATCGAGCACTTCAAAGGTTCAAGCTACCCAGATTGGATGTTGAGTGCCCAGAATGGTGAGCGAAAGGACCCGCAACTGCATACACTTCGCTTCTCATTTTGCGGCCCGCGAGGACCTGGCCCTGAACTTGCGGCCTTCCCTTGTCTTCGAGTGCTCGTTCTTTATGACTGCATCTGGGACGCCTTACCTGACAATCTGGAGCAACTCAAATCGCTAAAGCTACTGATAATCCATCATTGCGTGAATATCAAGGCGCTTCCAACACTGCCCCACTCTCTTGAGGAGTTCTGTGTAAATTACGGTGACGCCGAGTTCAGGAAGAATTGCCAAACAGTGGGGCATCCATGCTGGCTAAAATCAAGCACATCCCCAAGAAAGAATTTGCACCTACATACATGTAAGACTGCAATCCCTTTTGCCGCCTTATTTTTGTATTCTATATTCGTAGAATGTTGTTTCTTCCATAAAAAAATACTCTGTTTTCTTTCTAACTCTGCTTCTACATGCATCAGAAGCTGGGATGAGTTGCGGTCTAGGGCGCCGTGCAGTCAATTCATTTGACTACATGATTTTGGCAAAACCTTCACATACATGTAGAAGTCAAGCAATGATTAATGTAACATTCTACGGGCACATTTATTTGACATCACAAGTTTGAACTCCTGATTTCGCCGATGGATGGAACTGCATCAGAGGAAAACTCTAATGAATCAGATTGGATTGCAATTGCAACACAATAGCATAGGCCTCCCAAGAAGATGTGAAGGGACAACGCCAGGCCGCTGGATGTGTGAGATTTGTTTGTGCTCTTGCATGTAAAATTATTCAGTATGTACTTTGATTGCTGCTATCTATTAAGTGTGCTGTGTAATGTACGTTAAGAAACCAGATAATTTGACGTTGAATGTGTGAGATTTCTTTTTCCTTTCTGTGTGCTTGTTCTTGATGCAAAGACTCTTAGCAATTTCCTTGCTGTGATTTGTGCTGAGTGAATTTGAGGTTATTCGACACCTGTAGTAGTGCTGGCAGTTCTGCTGAATTTGAATACTGTTATAGTGGTGCATATCAGTGTGCTTATGCTCTTCTTCTCTGCCTCTGTTTTGCTTATCCGTTGGCGTGCATGCTCAAATGAAGATCCGTGTTATTGGCATAGCATCTTTTGGTACATTGACAATCGACTTTAATACTTGTACGCTCATGCATGAACAAATGGTATGTTAGAATACAAGTTGTATAGGGATAGGAAAGTAGTTTAACTTGGATCCCTGTCTATCTCTTCTTCTCTCCCTTATCTCCTGTAACCTCCCGAGATGATCATAGTCTATCTCTATCGATCTCTCAAACTTGTACATCAAGGCATTGGCCATATATATACATTGCGGCCCGAGACAAAGGGTTCTACGCTTCCTCATATGGTCATCAGAGCCCTTCCTCTCGTACGTCTAGCCCTCGAGAAGGAATCAATCTAGTTGATCGAGAAAAAGGAGAGAAACCGAGATCGAGAGAGAGGAAATCATGTCAGGCACCACGCCGTCCACCGCTGCATCCACCACGCCCGCATCCACCATGAGCACCTTGTCCACCTTGTCCGCATCTTCCACCTTTGCATCATCCTCTACCCACAGCAGCTCGCCATCTCTCGGTCCGCCTCCATCAGAGAAGCTCACGAGGACGAACTTCCTCCTCTGGAAGGCTATCGTGCTACCCCAGATCAAGGGGGCACCGATGGAGCACTTCCTCGATGCCACAAGTCCGGCGCCCCCTGCCACCATCACCATCACCAACGATGGGAAGGAAGAGCAGGTCTTCAACTTCGCCAGGTCGATCTGGTTTGCGCAGCAGCAACAAGTCCAAGGGTACCTCATGGGGTCTCTGTCTCGAGAGGTCCTCGCTCAAGTTGCAATGGTCCAGACGCCGGCTGAGGTATGGAACTCCATCCATGCCATGTTCTCTGCGCAAACACGAGCTCAGAAGCTCAACACAAGGATGGCGCTCACCAATCTGCAGAAAGGTAATCTAACCATGGCAGAATGTCTCGGGAAAATTAAAACCCTTAGAGATGAAGTTGTCTGCGCCGGTGCACCGCTCGGAGACGCCGAGATCATCTCCCACGTCATAGCTGGCCTCGACATCGACTACAACCCCGTGATCTCGGCTCTGGCTGCGCGGGTCGAACCTGTTACGGTTCAGGAGCTGTATAGTCAGCTCCTGAGCTGTGGCGCCCGCCTCAGCATGCTTCAAGGAGGAAACCTGCGCCAATCCTCTGTCAACGCTGCCTCCCGCGGACGTGGCCGTGGGCTTGGACAGCAGGGGCGTGGACGCGGGAACAGCAACGGCGGCGGGCGCGGTGGTAACCAGGGCCAGGCTCGCTCTGGTGGTGGTGACCGCGGCGGTGGTGATCGCGGCGGCAGCTACAACAACGGCTACAACGGCGGCTACAACAACAATAGTCGTCGACCTAGATGTCAGCTGTGCAAGAAACCGGGCCATGAAGTCATTGACTGCTGGCACCGATATGATGAGGACTTCGTGCCCGATGCACGGCAGGCTGCTGCAGCCATGCGGGAGCACGGCAGAGCTGATGGTGATACGGTATGGAACGCTGATTCTGGAGCTACTGACCATGTCACAAACGAGCTAGAGAAGCTTGCCCTCCGAGAGAGGTACCATGGCAATGATCAGATTCACACCGCAAGCGGTGGAGGTATGGACATTCTTCACATTGGTCAATCTTCTATTAATTCCCCTAGTCTTAAACGTGATCTTGTCCTTAGAGATGTCCTTCATGTTCCACAAGCCAATAAAAATCTAGCTTCCATGTCTCGCTTAACCTCCGACAATAATGTTTTCTTTGAAACGCATCCTACCTATTTTTTCATAAAGGATCGGGCAATGAGGGAGCTCATCCATCACGGTAGATGCATCGGAGGATTATACCCCATCACATCAAGAGTCTTTGATCGAAAGCGTCATCGTCAAGTTCATTCTGCTATCAAGCCCTCCTTAGCCAAGTGGCACCAAAGATTAGGGCATCCTTCCTTAAATATAGTCAAGCAAGTAGTCAATAAAGGCAATCTTTCATTGTCATGTAGTTGAGAAAGTGAGTCAGTTTGTGAAGCTTGTTAGTGTGCAAAAACTCACCAACTTCCTTATCCTTTGTCAAATAGTGTCTCTCATGCTCCTTTAGAGCTTATTTTCAGTGATGTATGGGGTCATGCAAGAGATTCTTTTGGTAGAAAGAAATACTATGTCAGTTTTATTGATGATTATAGCAAATTCACATGGATATACTTGCTTAAATTCAAATTTCAAGTCTTTTCTGTTTTTCAAGAGTTCCAAAAACTTGTTGAAAGACAATTTGATAGGAAAATTCTTGCAGTCCAAAGTGACTGGGGAGTAGAGTATGAGAAACTCAACTCTTTCTTTCGTAGCATTGGCATTATTCATCATGTTTCTTACCCTCATGCTCATCGTCATGTATGAGAAACTCAATCAATTATATTTGAATGGTTTAGCCGAACGAAAACATCGTCATATTGTGGAAGTTGGTTTGTCTCTTTTAGCTCATGCATCAATGCCACTCAAATATTGGGATGAGGCTTTTATCACGGCTACTTATCTCATCAATCGTCTGCCTAGTCGAGTCATTGGCAACACTACTCCTTTGGAACGTTTGTTTCATCAAAAACCAGACTATAGTTCTCTCAAAAATTTTGGGTGTGCTTGCTACCCAAATTTGCGTCCCTACAATCGTCATAAGCTTGAGTTTAGGTCCACCCAATGTGTATTTCTTGGCTATAGCAATCTTCATAAAGGATACAAATGTCTAGAAATCTCATCAGGACGTATCTATATTTCTCGTGATGTCATTTTTGATGAAAAATTGTTTCCATTTGCTAAACTTCATCCTAATGCCGGAGCTCTTTTGCGTGCTGAAATCTCCCTCCTTTCCGATTCTTTGTCTTCTTCTGATCATGGGGGGTGAATTAATTAGGACTGATCATGTGGAAAATTCCATGGAAAATTTTGAATCTGGTGTTGATTGTGCAGCAACAGGGCGTGATTTTATGTGTCTAGATACAGCCAAGACAGGATCAGGCACGGGATCCCAGGCAGATTCGCCTGCACCAGCGCGATCCGAGGCAGCCACGTGATCCGAGGCGGATTCACGCCGCAGACTGCCGGACGCGGGATCCCAGGAGGATCGCCTCGCGTCTCCCGCGGCAACCGACCGGGTGGCCGACAGCTCCCCAGGCGCGGAGCCCACCAACAGCTCCCCAGGCGCGGAGCCCACCAACTTGCATGGGAACGATTCGCCTCGTGCCCCGAATCCCGATGCTGCTGGCGAGGGGGAGAGCGCGCCTGCTTCGCCGGCTTCTGTGTCGGATGAGGATCCGGTCGGATCTTCTGTGGACGACACCTCTGCTGCAGAACCTGATTTTTCGGGATCTTCTGCGGTCAGACCTGCAGCAACACCAGTTCCCCTCCGTCATACACGGTCTCGGTCAGGTATTTTTAAGGAAAATAAGTATTCAGATGGTACAATCAGGTATGATAAACTTAAGCGTGCTTTTCTCACAAGTATCGGTGAACCAACAAATTTGCATGATGCTCTTGCACACAAGGATTGGAAGAAGGCTATGGATGTTGAGTATGATGCACTTATTCAAAACAAAACTTGGCGGTTAGTTCCACCAAAGAGAGATGCCATTGATTGCAAATGGGTATATAAAATTAAGAAAAAAGCCGATGGAAGCATAGACAGATACAAGGCTAGACTGGTTGCAAAAGGGTTTAAACAAAGGTTTGGTATAGATTATGAGGATACCTTTAGCCCTGTTATTAAATCAGCTACTATTCGACTTGTGTTGTCTATTGCTATTTCCAGAGGTTGGAGCCTATGACAGGTAGACGTTCAGAACGCGTTTCTTCATGGTGTTCTTGAGGAAGAAGTGTTCATGCAGCAGCCACCAGGGTATGAAAACAAAAATACACCACATTATGTCTGTAAGTTGGACAAAGCGTTGTTTGGGTTAAAACAGGCCCCAAGAGCCTGGTATTCAAGGCTAAGTACATAGTTACAAAAGCTTGGGTTTACACCATCAAAGGAAGATACCTCATTATTCTTTTACCATAAGAACAATATTACTATATTTGTTCTTGTCTATGTTGATGATATAATTGTTGCCAGCTCAAGCCCAGATGCCACAACTTGTCTGCTTAAGGATTTAAAGCTGGAGTTTGCTCTTAAAGACTTAGGAGATCTGCATTACTTCCTTGGAATTGAGGTCAAGAAGGTAAAGGATGGCAACTTCTTACACAACAAAAATATACCACTGATATTCTCAGAAGGGTAGGTATGGAAAAGTGTAAATCAGTCAGTACACCTATCTCTACTTCAGAAAAACTTACTGTTGAGAGTAGAGAAGCACTTGGGCCAGATGATGCAACAAATTATAGAAGCATTGTAGGTGCATTACAGTACTTGACTCTTACACGTCCTGATATTTCATA